CCTTTCCTCACTGAAGCATCTACGCTTAGCATACAAATACCTTTGGAATTCATCATTTAGAAAGAAAATTTTTTTCCTTAAAAGTACAAACCTGAGACTGTGATATAAGTGATATTCCTCTTCACTTCTAAGTTTTAGAAACATGACGATGAAAATTATAAACAAGTCAACTTGTGCTTGAATTTCACCGCTCAGTCCTTTTAAGTCCACTGATAGTCTGAGCATTTTTTCTATCAAGACATTGCTAAAAGCCCAAAATAGCTCTTTAAAACAGTGCTGAAGAAAGAGAAAGGAGAAAAAGGACTCAAACCCACCACAGCTTAAATACTTCACATTAAATTTCAGAGTGAGTTGCAAACTTATGTCTTCCCCACTGCTTCAGTTGTAATTAAAAGAATTTGGAAAGGTTCATAAAAACTGGTGACAGTGGAGCTCAGATTTACAAGTCACCATTTGGCAAATGTTAATTCTTTCCCTGTAAATACTTAGGAGAAATGAGTATATTTACAAAGAAAAAATACAGCACTCTCATCCTATCTAAGAGGGACTAGGAGAAAGAACTTAGACCAATGGCAGAGACATACCACAGTATTCAAGCTAATAGAAAATGAAAACAAAATGCCCTCTTAAAGATAAATCTAAGCATAAAATGAGGGACAAACAATGCAAGCTCGCACACCAGCCTGTTTGTAACTTTATCTCTCTGATACAAATCTATCAAGTTTTTTTTTCATAGCCAATTTAGGAGAGAGTGCAAGAGCAAAATGTGCTAATCTAACGTTACTGTTTTAGTTGTTCTACAAAATTTTTTTAAGCTAAATGTCTGTACCTTACAGAGTAGAGATAGAGAGACAGCGATAAAGTATAAAAATACTACTTAATGCAGCCTGGGTCTTTGCACAATGCCATCAGCCTGCTTGGGAGAAAGCCATGGCAGCACAAGTCAGCAAAAGAGGGCTCTTAACTCCTGTTCTTCCACCCCTTCTCATCAAAAGCTATTTAATGTAATTATCAGCAGTGGGAAACCAAATATAAACTTCTTATGAACACAGGCAAGAAATACTATACAAAAGAAAGAAGCAAAACAATAAAAAACTCATAGTGTAAACAAGTCCAAAAGAAATAAGCCACAGCAAGTTACTCTGAACACCATGTTTGTAAATATTTATGGAACCAAATTAATACTAAGCCAAGTAGAACAAAATATTCATCCCAACGTAAACCAATACAAAAGTCTCAATCAACAGCAAACAGAGCTAAAAGTAAACAGGAAAAAAACACCCTAAACATTGAAAGAATAAGGACTGTACAGACTTATAACAAATTTATAATTGTAGCACACAAACATGAAGTTTTAGATTTGCAGTCAGCAAAGCAATAGAACTTGAAATAGTCAAAAGAGAACCAAAAATCTAGTGGGGAAAAATTAAAAACCAACAAAAAAATCAAACAACGCAACTCCTGTAGGATAAAAAGAAGGATCAAGCCTTAGAAAGTTGGTTTAGAGGATTCATTTTGCCACAGAAGCCAGTTAGACCTCAGGAAAACCAAAGATCCTTCTTGGCACAGGCATTTGTCACAGCCACCTTCACCTTTATAAGCTGGGCTCCACACTTAAAGAACATCTCCTCTGGCACAGTTGGGCAAGGATTTCAGTGCCAGCTACTCCCCTCAGCCACCGTGGACTGTGCCAGCACCCCAGGGACACACAGCATGAGCAGCAGTCCAGCTGCCAGCCAGGGAACAGCCACGCAGAGCACGGTGGAAGGACAAGAGGTACTGAGCACAGACCAAAATACAGGAAACTGTTAAAACACAGAGATAAAAACCTTTTTAACTGTGAGGGAGTGGGTGGTCAGATGCTGGCACAGGTTGCCCAGAGAGGAATGTCCATGCTTGGAGATGCTCAGAATCCCCTGGGATGTGGCCCTGAGCAGCCTGCTCCAGCTGAGCTGCTGTGAGCAGGGGACTGGAGCAGACGTCACCAGAGGTGCCTGTCAGATTTTGTCTTCAGCCCTTACTGTGGTTCTCCGAGCTTAGAGATGGTGGGAACACAAGACTTGCCAAACTGTAAGGCAGATTTTTGTTGTTTCCCCACACACAAGAGAATATGAGTGTCTTACAGGTAAAACTGGTTGAAAATAGTTTCAACTATTTTTTTTCTGTGAATTAAAAAGATTTGTTTTCCAACATGCTGTAGAGCTAAATTAAATACAGGAAACAAGAGGAGTTGACCCACTGGCTGCACTGGGGAGCTTCAGAAGGCTGGAGTAAGCAACAAAACAAGACTGAAGGACTAGGGACAGACAGGGATGCTCGGCTCCTTTCCACAGCTTCCATGAAAAGGCAGAGATAATTATGAAAGCATATGCAATAACTACACAATTACATAAAACTATATCAGTGGTACAGCCAAATGACACTCATCACACCCTACTCTGAGAAAAATAAAGATGGAGAACTCTGCATTGCAGATAAATTCCTATTTTAAAATGGAGGAGTGTGAGGGAGGAAAATAGAAATATGCTAAGCACAGAAAAAGTGAAGAGTCTCTGTATAATTGAAAATAAAAATATGTAAAATACTATTTCATTAGTGTTCTGTTTTAAGCTCTAAAAAGAAAAAATATTATGCTTATCAATGACACAAATACACATGTATCAATGTATTTCAAAAGTACATTGAACATTTATGTCTAAAACAAGAATATAGAAGATAATTCTTGGTAATATTGAACAATTAAGAGTTCTTTACATCCACAGAAAGTGCTGTATGAACAGTAAATAATTCTGGTAGGTGAAAATATGCTGACCTTGACTCCAACATCACCCTGACTTCAATCAGAACTACAGCCAGTAACTCAGGAAATTACAATTTGCTAGAACAGATTGGAAAATTAAAGCATTTTACGCATTTAGAAATCAACAAAATATCTGTCACCAAAAAGCTAATAGGTTTATTAGTTGTATGCAGCTTGAGTCTAATGCCAATAAAAGGAAAAGGACAAGTATTTTCGTCATCATTTGGGCAGCTGATTGATTACTCATCATTAGATCTGAATTTTAACAGAGCTCCTTTTGGTGGATGGAAAAATCTGCTGGTAGCCACGTCCTGCCTTAAAACCTTTCTCTTTAGCCTTCAAAAAGAAGTATAAGCACAGTATTTGTTATGATCCCCTCTCAGCAGTGGCTGAAAGGACAACATGAGCAGCAGTAAAGAGAAGTGTTATCCATGCATTAAGCAAATAAAAGTAACATACCAGAAGAAAGCACAATGGAATCTGAGCTGAACCCCTACAGGAAGTGGATGGATTTTGACAACAAAGGTTTAGACAAAATAAACAATTAAAAAAAAAAAAAAAGAACGAAAACTGCATGTTCATTGGTCTAGTTTCAATGTAAAATGCATATTTAAGTCTTATGCCTCACTTCTACCTCCCTCTTCATCTTAAAACTTCAGTGTAATAAAAAGCAAGTCATGCACATGCATTGCATCCACAAGGGATGCAACGTGTATGCTGAGGACTGCCTTCAGCTTCGCTGCTAATTCTTACAGCACGAGCTCCAGGCCAGCAGTGTCTGAGCTCTCTGCATAAGCTAGCAAGGGTGTATGTCGATGCTGCAACTTGTTTGTACAATATTAATCATAACTAAGTAAGCTAAAACCAACGTTGTCAGATGCGCCAGTGCCAACAGTATGACACAGCAAATATGAGAGGCTGACCAGCTTTAATACATTAAAGTACCTTTATATTTAAGTACCTTTATATTTGAGGATGTATTATATTTAAAAACCTTCTTATGAACACTAGCATTTGGGAAAAATGGTTTTTCAGTTTTCCTTAAGGGCAGAACACTGACAAAGAACGAGCCTAGGTTTAGAATTGCTGACACAAACTGCAATAATGTTTCATCCAAAATGCTTCTGCACTCCTAGAAAATAATGACTTCCAGAATCACAGAAACACAATAATGATAATAACAACACTTATTACTCCAGTGAATGCAAAGTGAACTAAAACTATGCTACTAATTTCATCATAACTCCCAAATATGCTAATTTGGACTGGATCGCCAATGTTCACTCTATAAGCATATTGTTAATCACTTATATTTCCCATCAATATAATGCAATCACCTGACTTAAAGTTTGGTTACAGTATCATGTTTGAAAATCCAGGTTTAGATGGTTGAACAATTATGTACTTAATTAATCATTATTTGATAGCACAGTAACAACTTCATTCAGCCAACCACATAGTACACAGTGATCTTCAAGTATGGATTGAAAATTGCGAAGTAGGAGATCACATGGCTATGCCCTTCAGCCATGTACTGATCAAGATGACACATCTGTGTGCATTGCTCCTGTAAAAGACCACTGGTTTAAACAGGCGCTGTTACAAACAGCAAATGACTAATAAATTTAAAGAACAAGGTATTCTATTGTTCAAGGTATTCTATCTACCAGATATTCTTAAAAGTACTGCTCCACACAGCTTCGAAGACAGTTCTGCATCCATTAAATTGGTCTATGATTACAGAAAGGCCAAGTCATTTTGCATAAAGTAGAAAGCTGTTTAACATTATGATCCTTCCAGCCACTGCCCTCAGTGCATTTAATAAGTGCACATTGTGAAAAAAACCTGTTACTAGTTAAGCTCTACAAGGATCTGGCTTGCCATGCAGTTGGGGTTTCTTGATTTCATGCTGCCAAAATGAAGTTAGACATTTCAAATGTACCTGGTGCTTTTTCAATGCCACCCTAGGGTGTCATTGCTTCAGCTGGCATGGAATAGGATGAATCTTGGCTTCACTGAAGTCAACAAAAGACTTCACCGAGTCAAGATATCATACAGCTGTGAACAGCTGTTTAAATTATGACTGTACCTTCCCAGTAGTAGCTTATTCCATAGCATTCTCTGGAGTTCTTTCCATAACAATTACAGCAAATAGCTCTAAGTTAAATTTCACTTCAAGAATAAAGAAACTACAAAAATGTATATTCAGTCTTTATTTTATTAAAACAAGATTTGTTCTGCTGAAGGAATGAATGTATTCATAACTGCAAACCAAACAAGGAACAAAACCTTTGTTTCTGGGCATGCTCAGAGCTACGCTATTACAAATTTTTCTGACAAACATTATCAGGAATGCTGTAATTCATAGCAGATAAATCATTAAAGGCAAAAATTCTGGGATTTTAGTTACATTAGTGAGACACAATTTACTTTTCCTATCTGTCCCCAAAACACCAACAATTGAAACACTTCTCTTTCCAGTACGAATTCAGATACTCTGTTCTCAGGCAGAGCTGACCCTAAGGAACAAAGAAAGGAAGGCCGCTAAAGAAATCAAGAATCATCATCCCGCTCCTCTTTCCCATTACTCAGTGAAATAAAGCAGACTCCTGAGCACAGGAGCACAGGTACCAGCCTGCCCTCTACGCTTCAAATCAGGACACCATCCTCTTCTGTTTACCTGTCATTGATTTACTTCCAAAGAGAATATACTGTCCTGTAATTTAGCTCTTTACAATATTAAAAATTTCAAATACATGACTGAGAAAAAAACTGGAAACAATAAATCTGAAATTAAATGAGCAGAAGATACAAAGAAAGAACATCCAGCAATAGCCCGGGACAAGTCTGTAGTATTGCTGTATCCTTACAAACTCACAATGTATCAAATGACCACAGACAGTAGGGACAGAGAAGCAGATAACAAATTACAGCATCAAGCAAAAGTATTGCAAAATACATTACCAATAACAAGAACATGAAAACCACAAAAACATATATTTTCATTTGTGCACAAATTTTGCATGAAACTTAAAACACAACTTCAGATTAAGTTATAGTCTCATTATAAACAGAAATGCCTCATTTTATCCGAGTCCCAGAGAGGAGTACTTTCATAATACAATTACAAGAACATTGGATGCAAACTTGTCAGAAAGAACAAGAAAGCAAAAAATCCTATCGGAAAATTAACTGAAGAACTGCTTGGTGCAAGTGTCAGATATTTCTAGCTTTGGGGGTTTGCTATTCTGTGTTTGGTTAGCACCTAGCACAGCATCACTCTGGCTCACACTCATGGTTCACAATACTAGTGAATAACAAAAATCTAGCTGCTTAGAATAAGATTGTTTTAAAAGGCTGAATGAGTACTTTGTGTGGGGAGAGACTTTTTAAAAATATGACGTATTAAAAATAAAAAGTCCTATGAACTTGTGGAAGGTCAAAATTGGATATGCACTGAAGAAGAAATTAACATTTTTCTCAACTATTGTAAAATATCCTGGTTCTAACTGCTGCCAATTAGAATCAAAGAGCATGACTTTATTCCTCTTTAATCCAGTTATCTTTTCTTGCTTCTCTATATTAACACAGGCAAACATACTGATAAAACATCTTTGTCCATTAACATTAAAAAAAAAACCAAGAAAAACCAACCAAACAAAAATCAAAACAAAAAATCTCACCCAGACCAACCAACACTCCCATCAATTTCAGAGAGAAAGTATTTCAGCTCTCAAGTTTGCCATTTGGGTAGACTTCACAATCATGTTTTGAAGTTTCACACTGCTAATGAAACAACATAGTATTCAAAAAGGGCAGCAGAATATGTATTATTTATCTAGGAAAGTGCTTGTCTGTTCCTCAAGACCCCAGAAAACTTCCCTTTTCTCCTTCTTGCTCATGATACTGTCTCTGAAATATTTTGTTTTGCACATATGTTCTTCAATTCTCTTTCCAAAGCAGTTTCTGTATTTACTTCTCCTATCACTGTCTCTCCTCTTTTTCCTAGCAGTCATTGAGCATGCACAGAAGAGGTTTCTAAACACTCAAAACTGAGGCACAGAATAACATCCAAATCTACAGGAAACCTTATTTTGACACTGTCAACCACAGAAATGTTTCCAGACTTGTACCCCAAATCTTGTCCTTCTAATAAATTGTTACATTTCATCCTTTTTTTCATTTTTCTTTTTTTTTTTAAAGGAAAATATATAGCTACTTACACTTTTATTTAAATATAATACATTTTTATTCTAAAAAAAACACCCTGACAAGGGGGTCCATTATTAAAAACAAAACAAAAAAAGGCATTACAGTCTAAAAATATTAGCCATTTTATAGACCTCAAGACATTTTTATTACTCAAGATTTCAAGGAAAAGTTGTGTACTGGAGTAAGACAAACTTACAATGAATGAGTATGGAGAATGGTATTTTGACTAAACAAATATGCACTGGTGATCTAACAGTACAATGGGCACTTATTCACACACAAAATAATTCATGCTCTTCACATGTAAAATACTGTGAAAAATAAGATGGAAGAAACTGGATAGGAAAACATTCGTGTATCATAAAAATATGTTAGAATGGGACTTATCTATAGAGTTAAAGCTTTGCTTTAAAACAAACTTTATTTAAAAATCCTCTTTTGCTTTATCTAAAAATTAGCCTCTCTATAAAAACCATTCCTTTAAAACTTTGCTTTAAAAACATTAGTTTTATATTAGACAAAATATTAAATTATACAGGCACAATTAGTTAAGAGGGCTATAAGAACTTACATTATAACCCTTCATTTTCCAGTGACTTGCAATACAGTCATAAGATTCTGTGTCTACTGACAACCATAGGAAAATTCATCCATAGAAATAAACTTTTATTTAAAAAATAAATTAAATTAAACCAAAACAAATAAATCTGTCAGACCATATTTGCCTTGTAAAAGAACTTTCCATCTGACACATGCACACGTGTCACATGATAAATCATGTGCACATGCACATGATAAATCTTCTATTCATCTTGGGAAAAAAACATATACATTAGTTTTGTTTTCTGAGGGGAAAATGCACGTACACAATGTTCACTGGCAGAAACAGCAGAGTCTCAGCTTTTCCATGTTTTTCTTATGTTCTGAAAAACGAATTGTACCACTACAGAATATACAAAGACCTCTGAAGTAAAATGGATTATATAATATACCAAACTGAAGATTTAAAAAACAAAGTGCTGATTGTGATGATGTTTAATTACGTGCTTAACTTACCACAAATGGACAATTAATCTTGGGTTTTAGAGCAAAGAGACACCCACAAGACTGGGGATTATGTCTCCTAAACACATTAAATAAGCTGTCATCATAACAACTACTAAAAAAGGAAAAAAAACAAAACCAAAATACCATGGGGATTGTTTTTGCCATAAAACCATACTGGTTGGAGCATCAGTGGCCAAGCATGAATCTCTACAGAATAAAATTTTAATTCACCCAAATATTTAAAGAAATATTTGAACCCTAATACATTTACATGGATGCTACTTTAGGTTTATTTAAATATTTTACTGAAAGTTTCAACTCTAGTCCATAAAAATTTAACCAATAGTACACCCAATTAAAGTCAAAAGAGCACAGAAACCCAAACTTAAGGTTGACATTCCAAAACAACCCAGAGCTATCTGTTTGCATTATTACTTTTCCATCCCCCTCCACTAAGGAATGTAAAATTCACCTACAAACTTTCTCAATAAGCTACTAAAAACAAAAACAAACAAAAAAACCCCAAACCTAAGCCTGTATTTCATTTAGAATTTGAAATTTCACTTTAGCCACGACCATTTGAACAGTCCCTAAAGAGACATTTTCCGTACCCACATGGTCCATTATTGCTTGATGAGAGCCCACAGTGACTTTTTGTCTAAAACAACTGCTTTGGACATGGTTTCAGGAAAAAAGTCAATACAAAAATGTGTAAAACTACATTTCATTTCAAGAAAGCACTGAACGGATCTGAATTGTATCATCCTGTATTAATTTTAATGCCATTCCACAGGCAAGTATATATTACGTGTTGAAGAAGGTGCGCATTTACACAAACACAAAATACATACACAGAATTCAGCCCAAACTGATGTATCTTCATTTAATTTCTAGCATAACAACCAAGTCATTTTTTGCACTTTAGAATTATGTGAAGAAATTAAATTAGGCACAATTAATTAACACAGTTTCTAAATTACCTTATTATAGTGCACTGTCACGCACTGATAATACCATATAATCAATATGATACTATTCCAGGTCATTTTGCTGATGTACAGGTGAAGTCTAGTAAATAGGATTCTAAGTGCTTTTAAGTCAAATCTACAACTTCTGCAGCTTTACACAGTAGAACAGTGCAATACACCACGTCCCCATATTCCAGGAACAAGAGCCAAGTTTACAGTTGTATTTGTTTCACATTAGACTGGCTTCGTACTTTCTGGAGCTCTAGTGCTTCAACTGCGTTGTCCACGACCTCCTTTTTTCCCCCTTCCTTTTTGCAGGTGCTGGCTATAAAAACAGAAAAAAAAAGTTCTTTTGGTAGCTAGCTCTCACCTGGCAGAACAAGACAGTTTCGAAGTAACGGTACAGCAGTTGTTCTTCGAGAGCGTCGGTTCACAGTGCTAGGATGACCCCGATCTCCACTTACTTTCCAGTTCCTGACTTTGGAGGAAGCTTGCTCTGGTTTCTTGGGAAAAGATTCTGATGTGACTTTCTGCCTCTTTTCAGGAATCCCTGTTACAACTGTTGAGCTCAGAAAGGCCCTTTTTGGTTTACTCCTCACCTTTAATTTTTTAGCATCAGGCTTTTCTTTCTTAGGGTGCTTTCCCACTGTAGTTTTCCTTGTCTGGCACCTATGGATGGAGAAAGCAGATTTCTGGGCACGAGGATGAAGTTGTCTTCTCAACCCCTCTCTTTGCTGTTTTTTAGTTCTGGAAGTTTGTTTGCCTGCAGTTACTCTGCTTCCTCTCCTCCCAACAGTACACGTGACAGACTTAGATCCTGAAGCCTTTCTGGAAAAAACTGGTTCTTTATTAGTGCCTTCTTTCCTCTTCCATATTGCCTTTGGATTCTCCCTCTCTAGCCACTCACTCCTGATGGAGGTCAGAGGAGTTTTGGTAATTCTATTAAATGGAATTAATCTACAATCTCCTTCTATCACAGAGTTCAAAGGTGAAATGATCAAGTGTTTAAAAGAGTTCTCAGAGTGACTAGACACAAGACAATCTGTTCTTTCTGTGGAAACAGAAGATCCATCTGCCTTTTGACTTGAGGCTGTATCATTCCCTTTATCTGGATCTGTCAGGAAAGATGCTGAAGATGAACTGTAGTAGTCTGACCAGTTGAGTGACTTTGATGGCGTGCTTTCTCTCTGTGCATCTGCTAGTTTTCGCATGTTTGCATCAAAGCTGAGACTTCTGAAAAGCTGTCGAACATGGGAGGGCTTTTTGGCCTTTTCTCCAACCGTACTCTTTGGAGGCGTTTTCAGAATTCGATTTGTCAGTGGATCATAATACTTGAAAGAACACTGTTTGTATTTATACCTTACAGAGTCCTTGCTATCTGCAGAGTTTCGATTTTTCCTCATTTTGGAAGTATCTACAGGTTTACCTTTACACTGTTTTACCTCTGGGCAAGAGAGTACATACACCACTGTCTTGGGCTGTACAGGACTCATAATCTTGCTGTAGGACTCTGGAAGTTTAAGGGCACATAGTCTAGTTTTCATGTTTGGAGTTTTTTCATTCTCCAACCGCGCAATGCTTGCTTTCTGATCAGCTGGATCAGATTCTCTTCTAGGCATTTTCCTTTTTGCTACAGGGTAGTTCAATAGACTTGTTTGGGTGCCGTGGCTGACTTTAACCACCTGGCATCTTGAAGCCAGTCGCCATGTCCTTTTCCTAGGCATTTTAAGTATTTGTGGGTTGCATAGAGTATCTGAGGCTAAAGATGGGTTATCAAAATCAGAGCCACCACTTAAAGCATCATTAAATTCTGGCAATGCTTTAACTGGTGCACTTTCTGTTCTGTTACCCTCCGTAACATTGATCCTTTTTTCATCCTTCTGCTTTTTTTTCTTCATTCTCTTGCCTGTACAGTTGGCTGACGATTCATTGTCAAAATAGCAGCGAAAACGACCCTCCCTGAAATCACGCACAAGTTCTTGAATTTTTATATCATCTTCGTACATTATTTGAGACCACGTCTTTCCCACAAAAGAAGGAGGCACATGAGGCAGAGCTGGAAGAACTGGTTCTTCAGTATGAACTATGACATCCTGTTTCACTGCTTCTGTTTTCTCTACTGACTCAGTTTTTAAAACAGAGCAGAGCTGTGTTCCGTAGTCTTTATCTTGCAAACTTACTTGGACCTCTTTTAGGAACTCTATATCTTTTATAGCTGCCTTGGGTAAGTCTGTTCCTGCCTGCATTGGTGCATCACAGTCAAAACTCATTTCAGAGCCCTCTAAATTAGTATGGTCCAGAAGTGATGAAAAAGTTAAACAGGGATTATTCTCTTCTTTGATATAAATTTCTTCAGATGTAGTTTCATGGCAGTATTTCAAAATTACATCTTCAATAGTTTCATCCACTGAACTTCCATCACCTCTGTTTGTCTTCACGTTTTTGCATCTTGCTAATTGTGGGGATGTCCCAAGATCTAGGGAGCTGCTGATACCCACAGTATCCCTGAGATGGAGATCAGACACCAAAGTTTCATCCTGAGTTTGTAAACTATCTCGCTTTGAGGGAGATTGACCTGAGGTAATAAATAAAGAATTGCTGTGGCTGCATGTAGGATTCTGATGAGAAACTGAAGAGTGTTTTGGGTGAGCTAGTGCTGGAGCAGGATTCAAGCATGGCTTCAATAACACATCACTAATGCAGGCCTTCGTTGCTCTTTCATCACATTTATTATGGAGAAACAGATTGGATGCTGCCAAATCCCTAACACTTTTTCCTGTTTTAGGATTAACAGAAGAATTGTGGATTATAGGACTAATGGAAAATTGCTGAGGTACAGGGCTCACAGCTGTAAACTGACCTTCATGGCTATGATTTGCATTTTTCAGAGTAACCCATTTCTTGTTGCTACAGATGCCAGTAGACTGCTGGGATCTTCCTGGAACATGTTCCTGGCCTCTTTCTAGGTTTTGAAAAACTGCTTGTGTTACAGAAGTTTTCTCTGTGCCCTCGTGAGACAGGCATGGAGCAGAAGAGTGTATTTCACCAATGGATTCCTTGTCTTTGCTGGAAAGCTGCTGTTTATCACTGTTCCTCTTTTTCTGCATCTCTGCTGGGGACAGGCAAGAAATCCTAGGAGTCTCCAGAGTGATGGGAAGTGGCATGTCATCGTATGTTGGTCTAAAGGGGAGGGGGGGAAAAAAAAAGTCAGCCTATATAAATACTGTAAATATACTTGAGATTTTTCAAACAATAGCAGTGTGAGGGCTTTTTAGGAGTCATTATCTAGAATGCATTACTTCTAATGAACAAACTCAAATTACCACCTCTGCTCCATTAGCAGAGGTAGTGAATTTTAAAAAATTATGGAGAGGGAAGGGGGAATGCTCCACAAAGTTAACTTGGGCATTAGTCTGTTATCCTCTTCATGCCACCGTCAATTAAGGATGGCCAAACATAGATTACGATAATTTAATAAATACAGCAAAGGAAGAAAATGTAAAGGTATTTCCTTTGTTTGAAGTTGTAACTTAAAAAGAAGTTATTTCACTGGTCATAATATCATTAATTAAAATTGAGAAGTTGAAAAAATTCTTTTGTAGAGAAATGGAACATAATAATACAACACAGTATAAAACCACTATTGACTATCAATGCCCTTTTCCCTACAAAATGTGGCTGCCTGATAGGAACCCTGCACATGTTGCCAAGGAACTCCATGCTTACTGTTTCTCACAGACATACCACAGCTTCTGACTCACTTCTATAGGAAGCCAAGTTATGATTGTTCAGCCCCACTGTGACAACAGATTTTTATATATTCTGTAACTGGCAGTTCTGTCTTTAGGACTGCCTCAAATACAAGGGTTCGTGTCTTGTAGAATTAACACAACTGACAGATTACAACTATTTCTCTTATGCAATACAGGAACCCACAAGGCTTCACTATGTAGCAGTTAAGCAAATACAACGAAAGTAATTTTAAAAGTAAGTAAATATAACTGAAGAAGAGAATATTATGTTTCATTTGAAATTTATAACGAGACCTTGTGAGACATAAATGGATGTTTATTTTAATACATGGCAGACATCAGCTAACAGAAGTATCATAAATAAATTTTACTGCACAGTAATTTCCCTAGTTATATAACTCAGAGTACATAAAGCTGAGGGTTATAGGACTGACTGAGCAAGAGAAACTTCGTATAACGAAACATTAAAAAAGAGGATTATTTCTATTACTTTATGAACGCAAAGTAATCAAATACATTAGATGATCAAACAATGCCTGTCAACTGAACTGCTGTGCCCTACTGCTGCATGAATTCTTGGCCACCTAAGCTCTGACAAATGACCTAAGGGGAAGGCCAAAGGCGGTAAGAATAATCCTTTAACTTTACTTTCTCACTTAAAAGTTCTTTCACCTTTGCATGAAACACCTGGCATCTGGACACTCCTGAAAGACTCAATATAGGACTAAATGGATTTTGACATAAATAAAATATAACAAATTTATAGGTTTCTAGCTTAGTTAACAACCTACATCCACTTTTCAAAAATGACTTATAAGCAAATGTCTCTGGGGTGGAGGAAACACAACTACAGTGTTACACAGTTAGGTCCTTCTGACAGTTTTGCTACAAATTATCTCCAGAAGCAGAATGAAGATTTACTCTCTTAAATGCTCAGTATTATTTCTTTATGTAAAAAACTTATACACCAAGAGTTTGGAGGAAGGAATGATCTGGAGGTTTGTGTGCATCTGGTTTTTGTTTGTTTTTTTTACTGGGAGAGGGGTAGAACAACAATATCCTCTGAAATTCAGTATAAGGCAAAGCTCTGATGAATTTTTCTTTTTTCCACATAACTATTACGTATACTAGTTCTGTAAAACAAATCAAGACTCAGAAATATTTCCCTAATCTTTTAAAATGACACTCTAAAGATATCTTAAGTGAATTCAGCTAAAAACAGGTATTTAAAGAAATGAGTGGAAACTGTGTATTAATCCAGGAGTTTTAATATGAAAGAAGAGAATCCAATTCTTACCTCAGGTATCAGTTAAGACCATGACTTTTTTTTCAGAGCAGGACCACAACATAAATCTATTCATGCTCGCTTTTCCATCTTTGCTTTTCTTCCTCCAAACTCTGTCTAGATTTGGGATTACTCTTCCCTCTTCTTCCTCCAACTTCATCTAGATTTTGTACATTATTTTTCTCATTCCATTCCTTCTTCGAACAACTTAGAGGAACATGGGTAGCTTGTTTTTCCTAGTTAGTAAGTTTAATTCGCCAAAGGAATAACCTTGCATTAGTGACACCTCAAGAGAGGGCTTTTTTCATTTGGATGTTGCCTTAAAGCGAATATTTTCTCCATGGCAAAAAATTGTGGATATTCTTAAGAGAGTGGGATTGAATTTATTTATTGAAGATGGAAGGATTAATTTATTTATTTGTAGTGTGCGTATATGCCCTGGGTTAACTTGGCATTGACGTGCATATTAGTTTATTTTGTCACATCCCTGATAATATCACTATGACTGCATTCAGAAAAAATACCCTTCTACTTATTTTTCAGAGTTGTAAATTAAGATAACTGTGCTGGGATCAAACTGGGATTTTTGTCTGCCTTGCAAAACATAACAAATGAAGAATGAGATTTAATTTATTTTCCTTAATCTACAGAGAAATCTTAACACATTGACCTTCTTATCACTCTTAAAACATGCACACAATAAATAAAGAGAACACTTTTCAAAATCTGAGCATTAATTAATTGGTCAATTAATATAATTCAAGTATTAACTGAATATGTGAACTGCAAGGATGATTAAATATGCAAATATTTACCTGAAATTATCCACAAACAAAATTATGAACTCTTTCAAAACATACCATAAAATACACTGCTAAATACATTTATTAAGCCTAGAATGATAATATTTATAATAAAATATATAAAGCTCAAATTATAAGAATTTGTAAATGCATATGAGACTGTCCAGTCTGCCATTACACCTGCTGACCCATATATTCCGTGTTTTCTCAGGTCTTCACATTTAACTGCTATCAGTGGTGTTGTCTCAAATCCTTAAGTAGGGAAAAATTTAAAAGTGAAGAGACAACACAAAAGGAATACACTTGCATGCTGTCCATCTAAATACACTTTTTTCCTAAATTGTCTTAATTGAAAAAGTTTCACCTCAAATGGGTAAAATTTACTGCTCAGCAGTATAAAAGAAACAGGAATTTGTCATACATGCATTCTAACAACACACACTAAAAAAAAAAAAGCCATCTGTATTATACCTGTTGTCATGGTATCTGTGGGGATGATGCTGTAAAACATCTTGCAGGAAACGCTCCATCAAGCTACTGGTACCTGTACGATTCCTACAGTACGTCGTAAAATGTCTGTGCTGGGAGCTGAAAACGTGCTGGTGAAAGGTAAACAGGTGATTAGTCTAATACTACTGTAAACACACTGGCCTATTCCTAAATATTACTTCCCAGGTTAAACCTTTGCTATGAAAATATATAAATAAAAAGAAAAGTCTTCAGCCTTTTCTACTTTACAGACTTGATTAATAGAGATTTTTAAGCATGCTTAGGGAATCTCAGATAACACTAAAATGTACTGAAATATCTTTCTGAGTTGGAACTTAAGTTAATGGTTCTGATAAGTGCTGACAAATCTCTTGTAACCAGTACAAATGCTCACACAAATCTCACAGCTGCTCACAGGTCTCTTAGCTAGAACAAATATATTAAATGTTTCTATAAATGACTGTTAAAATATTTTTGAACTTCATATGAGTAAACATACTATAATTCACTCTAGTTAAGTGTATAGAAAATTAAATAGGCTTTTACTTTCTTATCAAAAAGTCTAAAAGACAGGAGATTGGCAGAGCTAAAGAACAGAAAACAGTTGATCAAATGTCTTCAGCCTTGATATCAAACACACTACTATAACCTTAGTAATTTACAATATATACAGAACTCAAGATTAAAGACACAGAAATAAATTTAATGGATGCAATGCACAGCAGTGTGCCACTTCAGAAAAAAAGCCTCCTGCAGCCACGCCACTTCACCAGCACCTTTGTAACAGGTAACAAACAAGAAGGGGATCTTTCTCAGTGCACACATTTTGCAATTCAAATTGCCTTTTTTTTCCACTCAGTATTGGTTGTTCAGTGTAAAAGCTGATAGTGCCTTTTGGTACTCCTTCCTATTTGTTGCTGAACTGTGCAGAAGCCATCTCACCTGTTCCAGATTACTGTAGTGTACGTGGCAACAGTTGCAGTACCCTTGTCTATTTTGCACAGTGGATACTCCAGGCCAAGCACGTTCTTGCCCTCTTGTGTGGGAACTGAAAGGAGGAGGTAATATTACCAAGACATGTTGGGTTATTTAATGCATGTCACATGGAAATTCTAAATATCTATCTTACCAGAGTGATGGAACAAACATGCAAGATAAATGTTTCTATTTCAGAATTGCAATGACAAGTAGGACTATGTATTTTAAGGTATTCCCAAGCAAATATCACTGGAGAAATTTTTTCTTAAATGCAGAACAAAGGATAACAGATTGAAGGCACAATGGGCTGAAATCTGAAAAGAACTGCCTCTACAGGAAAAGGCAGAGTCATCTTCTCGTTCTTCTGTTTTTTAGTAGACGCTTGACACTCACACATTACTTTTGGGCACTACAATATGCCTTCCCCACAATTTTTAATAGTGTTTGGTATGAGATACAGAGGACCTCCATCACACACTTACTGTGCCTCACTGTCATCTTTTATACAAAATAACAGATAAGGTTGAAAAGCAGATTCTTCCCAGTTTACCTCGGTAAGCAGTAAGCTAGGCACCAGTTAATCGTCACCTAACTTACCTGCTACTGCTGTCCCGACGTAGAGAACCTTCAGCACCATGTCTTTGGATTCCTACAGAAAAACGAAAACAGAACAAACAAAAAATAAAAGAACCAAACACACACACACAAAACAAAACACAAAAAGCAACAGAGTATCAAAGAGATGGAGAGAGTTTACCTGCAACTAGCTACTTCTCTTATATTGCATTTGTCAAAACTACTATTTTAAAGGAAGATAAAAAGTTTAGTAGGTTCAAGAATCCTTTTGTTCTCAAGGTTCATCCGAGAGCTTCATAAAATAAGCTTTACTCTTTCATGGTTGGGTGTGAATTTTTCTACTGATTTGTCTGATTTCAAAACTAGGCAATCTACATTCATATTGCTACATTTGTGATCATTGAGATAAAATGTAACATGTCTTAAAGAGTTTATAACAGGACAAGAGAATTACAGCTACATGGGAACTCTTTGGATGATTCAGGAGTCACTCCTTCCATCCAAGTTCCATAATGGAATTTAGAAAATCAAATTATGCAATACAAGGTGAACTAATACTTATGCTGATAATTATATTTTTTTTAAAGAGTAACTGTGACAAAAACATCTACTTCGAACTTCTTACCCTGTGCTGAAGAAGCAGAAGCTTCATCAGATCGTCTGATTCTGTCAAACATCTATAAGCAACAAACAAACAAACCCTAAGTTATAATAATAATTAATATTACATCTAACAATGTTAGCATTGCTAGCTTTTGCAATGTTAGCTTTGCTAGAAGGGCCCAACTTCTGATCTAAAACGAAGTCAAATACTATACTTATGAAAACAGCCCAGACTCTGATAGGTTATTAATCAATAACCTTGTCAAATTCATTGAATTACTTAATTTCCTAAAATGCCTTTACAATTAAGAGATATATGCTAATAAAACCCATACAAGACCTACACCACACAAAGTAATCATCCAGGTTAGAAAAGCAATCCTTATTAATCGAAAGACCTGTAACTCAACTTTGAAACTCACGATTTTTAATTAAAATATGACCGCAGTAACATGTGGTTACGTGCTTTAGGGCATCCAAACCCAAAGGGCTTCCGAGTGTCACACAGTCCCTTTACATTATGGAATCCAAGCACAAAATCTACACACCTTAGACTCACCAGCCTTCATCCACCAAAGCTGACTCCAGACTAGCAAACAATTAGTGTTGAACAGGAGGCCATTTGCAGTGCAGGACACTTTTCTTTTTTCATCCCATCTGTCAACAAGGAATTTAAAGAGCCTTTTAAAACAGAGTTAATAATGCATGTTTTCCATGCCCCAAGGCATGTAAATTTTTCTGTACCACTTTGCAAACATGTCAGTCGATAAAACAGATAAATCTTTCTGAAGTCTGCAGTACGTTCTTCTTTTTAATATGGAAGTTGTTTCGACAGTCTTTCCTACGTAAATGTTAACCACTCCTTCTGGAATAACTTTGTTCCTTCTTTTTGCCTGATAGCCCCCATGTATTAAACATTTTGGATGCTAGCACTTGTGAAATAAAGTATACTGCTACAATAACAGAAAACAAATTCTTTAATATTAACTAAACTGAAATGAATCTATTTTGTGCATCATTCATGAACCTCCTCAGAAAAACAATGTCTTATTTCGCTCATGTTACACGAACTAGTTAGATAGTGCATAATATCACATAGAATGGGTGTTCAAAGCATTTTATAATTTAATCATTATATACTCAATGAAGTGTTATCATTAGCATTACAGACAGGAAAACAGAAAGGCTACAATAACTTGCACAATCACTGTCTGCAGCATCACCATATTCTGCTTCAAAACTCAGGACTTAGCAAGTCCAAGATCTGCTCTTCGCTTACGATTTCAGTAATTAGGGGATAACAAAGTTTCAAATCAACCACTTTTATTAACTGTTATCTTTCATAAACTATCTTAACAAGACTCATTCCTTCCCTTCTCATTTCTTGTTCTCATGTATGCAGAGAAGTTGCTCCTATATGAGGCTACATACCATCAAGCTTGACAGATGTGTGGTTTGTTACTTGTTTTCTTTAAATGTGTTTTGTTCTTTGTCAGACTATGAACTGCTCATTATAAAATACCTAGGCTGCTATAGCAGCTATGGTCAGAAGGAGTATCACAGTAGCTCGACTTCAAACACCCATGCCCCCCAAACCACAAAACAATGCACACAACCCAAACACCAGACTTATTCTCCTCCCCACAGTGTATCAATTTATGTAAAAATATTACAAAAACAAATAAGCAAGAAACTCCAGCTGTTCTTAGAAGCCTTCTCATCAGGCAACTGAGAAAAGCTTTCTTGATAGAACAACTTGTCTCAGCCATCCTGTTATGTGTCCTATACACAGCCAGGATCCAAAAGAAAGTAAAGGAAAAACACAGAAGACTACCTTTCAGGAATGATGCTTTATGTAAAATAACCTGTTCTATGAGCTTGAGGTCAACTTACGGATTTTTAAAGTCTTACTGTGCACACATAATCTTATGACAAAGCTAAAAGGGTGGCCAGAGCACAGGAACCACAGAGGAGGCATACACAGGGCAGTCAGACAGCGGTTCCACAGTCAGCAGCAGCTCCACAACCACTCATCTCCATCCACTGCCCTAACATGGGATTACAGCACCTTGACATACAAACGTCTGATTTCATCGCAGAGATGCCAGGCAGTGGGAACTGCAATGTGCTGGAGGATAACTAAGACAGTTTGTTACTTCCTTATTTCAAGGACTGATTTCAATGGTGGTGTGCTACTGAGAGTTCACTCAGCAGCAAGTACAAGGCACATTTAAACCGAGGTAGGAGCAAAGTAACTTTAAACAGGACAGGACTATAAAAATAACTATACTGAACTACTCCAGTCTGGATCTCCCTGTCATCTTTTTACAGTTCAAGGAGATTCAATGGACAAGATTTTCTCACCTGGAGGGGAGTCATGCTAGGTAAAAGTTGTAAATGCCCAGCTATTGCTTAGTAACTGACAGAAAAGCATCAGAGGAACATCTTTCAGGGATATTCCCCTCTTATACAAAGTTGTCAATAGAAGAAAACTTCTCCTTATATCAGCGTTTTTAAAGAACATTAGTGTACAGGACAAAGAAACAAGTCTGAACTCTATACAGCTTGCTTAGCATCTGAAGTCAAGTTCAAACCGCAATATAGCAATGCGAAGGAAATCTGTTATGTAGATGCCTTATTTAATTTGTCAAAATCTGAACAGCCTAACTGTAATCCTTACTTTTTCAAAACAGAAACTACAGCTATAAATCCACAAATGATTTTTCAGATGTCCAGGCAAAGACTGCAAAATTCTACATTAGTTGAGATACATTCCACTATAAATATCATAACTTGTTGGATTAAAAAAAGTAAATTATATTTGTTCGAGATTTAGCCTAACCATTTCATCACCGAAAAAAAATCCTATAAATTTTAGCAAATGTAGAAACAACTGGATAGACACAAAAGTGTTTGATTTGGTAAATTTCTATCCAGGTTACATTAGCAGCTGTCTCCAACATCAATGTTTCCTTCTGGTTTTATCGAATTCCACTGCATACAGCAGCCAAAGAATGAAAAACCTCGGATAATCATGTTTTACAAGAAAAATCCACACAGAGGCAACCAAAAGGCAATGTACACATAAAAAAAAAACAAACAAACAAACAAACAAAACAAAAACACTCAAAAGCAGTGGTTATGATAGTATCTGAGAATCAAAGGTGTCAGGATAAACTCTCCAGACAGTGTCACTCTTGCACTGCCACAGATAAAATAAAAAGGTTAAAAAGGCAATCAAAACTGCTCCTCGAGAAACGCCTCACGAAAGCCTCTACCGCCCCTTCACCTGCGAGCGACTGTGCTGGGCAGGCAGAGGGAGAACGAGGGGGAAAACTCTCCCTTAAACAAAGTGACTTGACGCCCCACAGCACCACCACCACCAGGGAGGCTGTAACTCATTCCAGGAACGGCCTTTCCCCCGCGGCTGCCCCGCACCGGCCCGGGGTCCCGGCCCCGCCGCGCCGTGCCCGCCTCGCCTCGCCCCGTGTCCCGCCCGGCCGCCGCCGGCGGGGCGGAGCCGCGGGGAGCCCGCGGGGCCGGGCGGGGCGGAGAGGCCGGGGCCGGGGCCAGGGCCGGCCGTGCCCGGGGCAGCCCCGCCCGTCGGGACCCGCCGGGACCCGCCGAGCGCTGAGGGGGCGCTGAGGCGGCCGCGCGCGCGCAGCCCCACCGCTCCAGCGGCTGCTCCCGCTCCGCCCCCCCATCCTTCCCGAGGCCGCCTCACCTCCATCATTCCCCATCAGCTCTCCGATGCCGCGCTGGGGTCAAGGGACGCCATCCTGTGCTTCCTGCTCCGGGTCGGCGAGCCGCGCCCCGCGAAGGGAATGGCGGGAGCTGCGGTCCCCGCGCAGCCGCTGCTGCCCGGCGCGGGCTCCTCCCGCCCGCAGCGCCCCGCTCCGCCCGCCCTCACGGTGCCGTGTCCCCTGTTAGCCCGGCTCACACCGAGCCCCAAAAGCCCCCGTTCCTACAGAACACTGCGGGGCGGCGTCTTTTTGTCAGCCCCAGCCGGGGTGTTTCTGGTTGGGAAGTAACCTACTTAGCTTAAGTTTCACTTCAACGACCGTAATAGTTGTTTTCTCCTTCAGAACTGTGCTTTAGGGCAGGCTGTAGAGTTCACCCTTTTAATATTCGGCTGTTAAAAGTAGCTTGTTTTTCACGGTGTGCCTTGGTTAGGTAGATTTTATCAGAAAGTTACAGTCTGACTTCGTCAGAGTTAATGATGCTAGGATCAGCTTTTCTTATAAGTGGGCTCGAGAATGCAATGTTAGTTCAGGTTCTCTTATTTTCAGCTGTAGGTTTTTGAACGTTTATCTAATCTCCCGTGGGAAACCAGCTATTGCATATTTCTCTCATTATGCTGAAGCGGCAGGATTTTTTAAGCAATCTGGGCAGACACAAAATCAACAAAACACCCTTATGTGTGAAGACAGGTGCAGATACAGGCTTGGATTGTGCAATGGGGGGAAAACAATCTTGAATGCGCCTTAATATCGAAAATTTAGAGAGGCTGCTCTGTGATTATGAAACCATAGCTTGGAAATGTCCACCCACGCTCAAAAAGTAATTGAACACAAATCTCAAATGACAGATGAGCAGAAGAAGAATTCTCTTTAGAGGGGCTGAATTTAGTTGCTGTTGAATTCTTTTGAAATGTGCAGAGGTATGAATATGTCTTTATTGCTGAAAAATTATTACTATAGAACTAAAGCTGCCTGGTTATTACTTTGTTGCCTAATACACAATTTGGAAAAATCTGCAACTTTCTGTGGAGAACATTTACATGCATGAAGGCTCAGGCACATGCCCATATTATTGCATGTCAGCACAGCTGCATTGTTTAAACATGTGGCAAACACATATATAGACATGTTATCTGAGGTTAAACTAGTTTAATTTTATGGTGGTTTACCATAGGCTTAGTGAGTTACTGTGGCTCAGCTGACCCTTTATAACTTGTTGAAACAAAGTAAGCTTGGTTACATAGCTGAGGCACTGACGTTTCTTTTCCAGAATGGCTGATGTAAAACAGAAGTTCTTCTTAGCAAAGACAAAACACTATACAGTCTGTCTTATAATGCCATACAACTCCTCAGAATATTCCTGAACATTTTTGCAAGGATGGAATGTAATATTCTATCTCTTGGACTGTCACGCAAAGTTAGTAGAGCTTAGGCTCGTGTTGCCAAGTATTTCTTGGCTTTCAGCTCTTTCTGTATTTATGAATTTACGTTTGCACCTTGATTCAAACTCAGGTAAGATATTAAGAGATACTCTTTTACCTCAGTCTCCTCCTTCCCCCTAGGAAACAACTACTCACATTCATGCAGGAACACTGAGTAAGATTGAGAAACTTCCTTTCCCCTTTAAAAAATTTTTTTCTCTCCTGGTCTAAGCCTCACACTTTTCTCTCTTTGCTGGTATCTTACTCATCTATTGAGTTTCTATAAACTACCCCAAATACCTTTCACTGCTTTGCTTTTGACTTTAATTTGTTATGTTTTTCACTTCCATTAGCCAAATATAAGTCAAAGGTGTACCTATTAAAACATGAAGACAAATTGACAAATGCAGACAACAGCTATTTTCCTCAAGAGTCTCAAATTTCTTCCAACATCTGGATTCAGATTGGAAAGGGAGAATGTGATGTCCTATCTTACAAGAAGACAATCTCATTACGGGCATTCTGCTCACACTCTCATTATCTAAAACTGAACTTTTGTTTTGTACTCACATTTTTTTAAATTTTGTAAAAGGAGCTTTACCTGAATTAATAATAAAAACATCCTCAATATTCAGGATATTGGCTTAAACCCCAAACTTTAAGGATACTCTAAAAGTTGTTCTTTCTATTTTTCATTCTCTTGCCAGAACTACCTTCTTAAGATTAAAAATTGACAACTTAAATTTTCATTTTAATTGTTTAATCATTTAATCAACAAAAAAGTTGTGTTATAATTGAAACAAGCTTGGATAGTGACCAAGAAAGAAGTTTGAAACATCTTTTAGAACTAAGAGGGTTTTAAAAAACACTTTTGAAATATGTGGACCAAGAATTTTCTCCTAAGAATATTATTTTACTTTCTCGTAATTGGGTCTTAATTTTATAAAAGGTTACTTGAAGTATTTCACGGTGTGACTCTTTTTGCAATATCTTATTAGAAGCAAATCTTCACCTTGTCTATTTTTTACTCTTCTTTGGAGGCCATGTTGGTGTTTTCACAGGCTTATCTTGTCAGAGTTTGTGGGGTTTACACATTTTTTTTTTTTTCACTAAAATTCCTCACTATATTATATTCCTGTATACATGTACTTCAGAGAATACAGATATTTCTATTATAATAGCACTGAGTAAAATTCTGAGATATGCTGATTCCAGACTGGTTAATTATTCAGGGTGTTTTGTTAATTGCTGTTAGAGCTGCTGTTGCTGTTCATTTGCTGGCAGGTCATCCAGAAGGAACAGATGATGAGACAACTCTAAATGTGTCACACTGAACAGTGCAGCTACAAAATTTATCCAAATCCAGTCTTTTCAGAAAGTTTCTACATTATGGGCTACTAATGATCTTATATTAGATTTCAAATTCATACACTGGCCTTGTTGCAATTGTTTTGAATCTCTACACTACCTTAAATCAACATGGTTTTAGGACTTTCTGTTCCAAAAGAAAATGTAAAGACATTAAATCAGCAGCTGAGAAGTTTGAATGCTCAAAGAACATTCTGCTTCAAAAACATTCAAGAGAACATGTCTTTCATCATAAAATGCCGAATAGTTTACTGTTACATGCACAGTAATTTCTGGTTTCAGTTAATGATTGTTCAGTCAGTTCATCTCTCTGAAATAACTCTGCCTATTTTTTTAGGGAAGTGACACAAAGAAAGGTCAGAAAGTGGGTTTGCAATAGCCTGTAGGTCACTCCTCATGAATTGCAGGATATTCTTTGACCTTTATGTTGTGCGTGGAGTTTTTTATAGTTTCAAAAATAACAATTCCTTAGACTTTCTCTATTCTAGTTTGTCATTGTTTCATACTTATTTTCAAAGGTAACACTGATTTTAAAGTTGTCTGATTGATGTAGTCAGTTTGGCCTTTCAGAATTGCAAAGTTTTCCTGTAGAATTGTTCATTACTTGGAAATATACAATAATTTCTGACATATACATACTGGAAGATTCAGTGGAAAGTTGTAAAATTACTCCATTTTCCCATGCTGAAGGGAACTCTGCAACCTGAGAGCCTTCAACTCTGAAGGAAACAGAAAGACCAAGAGGTTCTTGTGTTAACCACAGTCAGATGCCATGACTGAAATACAGTCACGCTCAGAACAGAGTTAGTCTCATCTGCATGGCACAGTGTCTTCATTACTGTGTTTTAAACTGTCCTTTGTTTCATTATTATAGATAAGGTACAAAAGGAATGTGGATTCTTTAATCAGATGCTAATGTGAGAGTCTTGAAGTATTTTAAAGAGGTATGGTAGATGACTAATACTCCCTTCCAGCCTACCTCAAATTCTTTCATAGTAGGAACTCCAAGGCATTTTTGCATAAGTAAGTATTAATTCCCATTAGTAAAACAGGGAATAATGTCTTTCTGATACAAAGAGATAATTTTCTCTAAGCTTCTTGAAGGGTTATTAATCCTGTTTTTCAAGAATCTTCAAACTCCCAGAAGTTGTGTACCTGCTTTGACCCCGCAATATTTGAATTAAATGTTCATATCCATCCATTTCAATTGAACTTTTTTGATTTTAAATAGACATTAATTTAAGATGATCCTGAATGTATAATACTTCTGCAGCTTCCTTGTCTGTAGTGTAATTTATAGGAGTTGGGGAGTTCCAAATATATATACTATTATGTTGAGTCACTGCGTTTTCTGCAGTCAGTTTAAGGTGGGGTCAAAATGTATTCCCAAAGCAGTTAAGTAAGTGTTATTTTCCTCTGCACTGGCTGTTCTAAATCATGTTAAATTTTTTTAATGTTCCCACAATAAACCACATAAGATATTTTCTTACATCTGAGAGCAAGCAGGCTCTCTACTTTGCTTTACTCTGGGAATAATTTAAAGAAAGATTTCTTTATCCTATTCAGGAAAAAAGCAGAAAGTTAAACAAGAGAAGTTCTGTGGTTTTCTTCTCAGGGACAAAACTTAGTTTTAGGCTTGGAATGCTGATAAGCAAAAACATCAGCCTTTGAAAGAAGCCTCTTTCTCTCATAGTTTGAAAATGCAGAGTTTTTCATGGAAAAATTTGAAAAGAGAGAAGAAGAACTTTTTGTGTTTCTTCAGCATTTCACACACTATTACTTTGAATCTGAGTTTAGCCTCTCTCTTTTTCTGGTCCATCAGTAAACCAGTAGTCTATTCTATGTTGTTAAATTCTCTGTGTTTCAAATACTGAAGTAAT